ATTACTTAACAGTTTACAGCATCTCTACAAGCCATTTACTTTTCCATATAAAATCAGAGCATGCCTAATTGATTTCCTTAATAAAAAATGCTCATAAACTTGAATTGTAACTCCTGAGAGTTTACTATTTTGACACTTTTTCAGGTGGTTTTGATGCCTGAATTTCCATATTAGCAGCACAAGCTGGTGGCCCGTACTGTCTGTAGGCGCATTCCCCCGTCAAACGGGAGCGTGTTCATATTGAGAGACCCAGACTGAGACTGGTTTGGCCTTCCCTTCCCAGTCCCAGGGTGTGGTGTGCTATAGTCAAGATAAGTGTTATGCAACAATACCTCACTGCATGAACTCAGGCTTCAGTTTTTACACAGGAAGCCCAAGTCTGAGTCAGGCACCAAAATCTCTGCCAACTGGGCTTCAGCCACTCATAAACATGCTGCACAACAAACTACTTCCCGCCTATACATTGGTCTGAACAAGCGACTTCATTTGACTCAAAGTCATTTCAGCACAGAGGTCGGAAGTAAATAAGTACATTTACTCAAGCACTGTATGTAAGTACAATTTGAAGGTACTTTTACTTTACTTGAGTATTTCTATTTTAAGGTATATTTCTACTCCACTGCATCTGCATTTTATATTAAAAAAAACTTTATACATGTATCAAATACAAAACGTTGTTAAAGGCTAAACCAGTAGTTTCCAACAATTTCAGTTTTTGACCAAAAAAAGCAGTGTCTAGTCATGACTCAGACGTCAACAGAGCTGCTTTCCCCTTTAAAATCCCAGATGGCTCCATGTAAAAAAAAAAGAGTTCAAAGGTGCAATATTTCACAAAAAAAGGAGCAAAGATGAGAGATAATTTTTTCTTCATTCCTACCCCATTAATCCTCTCACTACCCTCCAGATTTATCTTACAAACCTATGAAGGGGGCCTGACCCGGAGGTTGGGAATCACTTTACTAAACCAGCTCCATCTCCATCAACAACAGTGAAATCATGCATGGATGCATCGGTGCTCACAGTCTTAACAGTGTCATGTATAATAACATATCAGTCACGGGGGACATTTTTCTGCAGTGCGAGAACTTTTATTTTTGATACTTTAAGTAGATGTTTTTTTGTACTGTCACTTCATTATGATCTTAACAGAGTATTTTTACAGTAAGGCTCTAGTGCTTTTGCTTAGTACAAGATATGAATAGTTCTTTTACCACTGAGTAAATGGCAGTAATGCCCTGCCACAGTCATTGCACAGTCTACAATATACAGTCAATTTAATGTCGTAACACTGAAGACCTGCGCTGGCAGAAAGTTCATGGACTGAAGCAAGAGTTTTTTCTTTTTTGATATAAAGAATCTAAAAAAAACAACCTGTTAGATTTTGGTTTGTGTTTCTTTATCATTGTATCTGTTAGAAACAACTGAAAAATATTTTATCTTATCTTGATGACGCCATTGTCTTCAGCAGTGTTGGCCCCAGTGGGAAGGAAAATATCACTGGGGTTTTACAAAATAAAAGCAAAAAGCCCTGGTCAAACTAGCAACCAAGCCGTTGCTTGTACCACAGCAGTTTCTCGCTCTCTCTCCTGATTGAGTGAGCACATGTGGTTCCCAGTGGGGTTAACCATTCTGGACCACAGCATGTGGGACAGATCTGGCTGCACCTTTGATTAGCCGCCGTAGTCGCAGGCTTGGGACACTGACGCATATCCCACAGCTCTGAGTGTCACTGCGGTCGCATTAGGTTGAGCTGCGGCTCTAAAGACTTCAGAGGAAATCAGAGGGAAAGCCTGTAAGGTCGGCAGAAAGTTGCAGGAATGTTCAGAAAAAAAGTGCCATCAATCACCATCATGCCGTAATATAGTGGCTGTCAGATCAAACCAGTCATTCCTCTGGCTTCTTTTTCCAGAGCACTTTAATAGAGATTGACGACATTTACATTTTTTTTTTCTAAACTAATACAGATAAATGCATTTAATGGGTCAAGATGCCACCTCTGGAGTTCACCTGAACTAACTGTGGTGCTTAGAGCAGATTCATTAGTCATTCACTGAAAGAAATTTTTTAAATTATTTCAACAAAACGTCAAAATTATGTAACTTTGATTTGACATTTTCAAACATCTTTGCTCTCCCATTTAGAGGAAGTCGACCCTTGAAGTCTTTCCTGTCATGTGCACTGCCTTCCGTTAATACATCATATTATTGTATTACATTGTCATATGTCTTCCCTGTAAGCGTTTCATTAATGCATCAAGATAACATAGCTTCGATTGGATAAGTCTGGTGATAGTCACACATACCACGAAAAGACCAAAAGAAACAATGAAGTAATCCCAGTAAGAAGTAGTGTGTGTTTAACCAAAGCCTGATACAGGTTATTGCTCTGTGCAGTAGAGCTCCATTGTCGACCAAAAACTAATAAATACACATCGCAGAGCCGCACTGGCTGACATGTTCCTTCATTATGATGAACATGGGCACTGCAGTTTATTTTGAATCAATCCCAGAAACACTTAGTACTCTTAGTTACTGAAATGATCACCAAAGCACCAAATGTGTATTAATCCACAGCTGAAAATAGTCCCCAACAAATGCACTATTTACATCTGTTTTAGTAATGTTTGATATAAAACTATAGTACCCTGCTGTTTTAGGAAATTATTTAGCCTTTTTTTGTTTTAAAAAAAAAATAATAATAGCACATATTCATAACCTGTTTTTTCATTTATGTTTTCAGTAGGAACAAATGAGCTCGGAGCTGACAGCCAGAGATGGGTTGGGGAAATCGGAAAGTACTGAGAGACTAACACATTTGGTCTTTTCATGTGACTTGTTGACAATAAGAAAAATACAGAGAATGGCCTTTTCCTATAAGAAATTACAAGCTTGATGCGGATTAGTTGATATATATTATATTATGCTCCCCACTCTTTATGATATGAATAAAAACATTGAATTTAGTTGTACTTTCATTTAGGTTAAGCGTTGAGTTAGGGTTCAGAGATCTCTTTCTTTGCCAATGAGGCCTCACAAACTCCCCTTTTCCACAGTATTTGCTGGTGTGGGCTCACAATTTTAAGCACAAGGATGTACCCAGGACACCGTTTTATGAACCATTATATGCCCCCTGCAAAATTCTTATCACTGCTGTTTGTTTTTGCCCCATGGAAATAGGACATTTGACTATTTTTGTTCATGTGCACACATATGATTGCTAAATAATTTTTAGAGCCCATCGACACAAAACTTGTATTCATAAATTCACACAGCCTCCTTGTGTTTTCTTTTTTTTTGTGGTGTCACTAATCACAGTGCCTTCTTTGTGTGTCAGATAGGACAAAGTCGTAAGGGTCTTTTGCAGTGCTCCCATTTTACTCCTCTCTGCGTGTCTTTCTGTCCCCTGCAGCTCCCCTCAACCCCCCTTAACTTTCTCTCATTTATTAAGCCGTATTCTGCCGATGTGCGTCAGAGCTGGCCAGGAGTCTCGTGAGGCGTTCCGCTCCTGAAGAGCTGTGTCTCGTGTCTGGACAGCGTCAGACCGCAGCGTCCTCCACCCCCCAAACTTACCCCCACCTCTGTTTGCCTTATTTGCCTGCAACCACAAGCCTGCTCGAGCCACACACACACACACACACACACACACACATATATGCGCACACTAAGCAGATGATCCATCGCAACTGAAGATCAAATTATTTGTTCTGGGGGAATAAATCAAAGGTCGTAGGTAGCTGCTGACTGTTTACCGAAGTCAGGAGCACTTTGATTCTCAAATTAAATTCAAATAAGTAAAAGTTCTTCCTAAAATGCAGGTTTTAAACACGTTTCATTGACGTCCATCAGGTTACCTGCAGCTGAAGTGGATATTTGTATCTTTTGCAGCTGGTTTTATTTTGTCATCTGGCACAACAGTCCAGTCTGTGCCACCCTTCATGTACTTGTGTTTTTGTCCACAAGTGTCTGCAGCCATTCTCTACCCTGATATAGAGGATTTCAGACAGACGCCCCACTTAGTAATATTTTCATGCCGTGTGTGTGTCTGACAGCAGAACACATGCCTTCCAGCTGCATGTCCTCCTGTGATTCATAGTTGAAGGGAGTCTACACAGATGCTGCTGATAACCAGACGTTTCGTGAGAAAGCAGTAAAATGATCGGGGCTGTCTGAATACAGCGGCCCTCTTTTCTACTGTTGTCTGATAACAGATATCAGTCCTGTGGAGCATATCATAAAATGTAAATTCAGCACTGCCATAGGATTTGCTTTTCCTTATTTAGGAATCATCACTTTTGGTTGTGTCATATGTGAGTGTTGAGTTCACGGTCCCATGGTGAGATGACGTCTCACGGCTGGATTTAGTCTTTGTTTTAGACACACACTCCATTTTGCGCGAGTGACCTAAACATGATGGTTTCCTAGTGCATCATGACGGCCTCTCAGACGCCAGCGGGTATATTAAAAACAACTTTCCCTCAACGATGGTCTGGCAAATGGCTTTTTTCCCTGACAACAAAGACAGTAAACAGCAGCACTTAGCGAGCTCTCAAGAACCTAATTGCCTATTAAGCACAATCGAGTCCTCCTTTATCCTGCTGCCTCTGTTGGGGGCTCCTATCCCTGGAGACACAGCTTTACAGTAAACATAAGTGAGCTAGCCCAGCTATCTGAGAGCTTTAGCCGGAAAATAGGCGCTGCTGCCGCACTCACCTCACAGTCAAGCAAAAGAGAGATGACCTTCCGTTGCTTCTAGCCTGTGGATTTGTTTGGGTGGCTGTCGGGAACACTGTGGGCCAGACTGAGACGTTATTTCCATCCTCTTATATCTTAGGTTTCTCTCCTCCACACTTTTCTACTATTTCCATGATTTTGTGCAACATCTCCCAGCGTCATTTTTAATTTCTATTTTTTTTTTTTTTTTTATTCTTACGCTTTGCTTAGTCATGGATAAAGTTATGCTGTGCATGAACTAAAAGACATTTTTGTTCCTGTGCTCTTCAGGCTTGACAGATGAGAAAGTGAAGGCCTACCTCTCGCTGCACCCGCAGATGCTGGACGACTTTGTGTTGGAGAGTGTGAGTGCAGAGACGTTGGACAGATGGCTGAAGAGGAAGACCAGCAGCAGGCCTGCAGGTATACCCACTCCCACACACACACACACACACACACACACAGGGACAAACATGGAAACACACACACACACACATGCTGTGGCTCTCCGGATCACTGTGACATAATGATTGGATCAGCGGATTTCAGTATATTGACGCACAGTTGTAATTTCTGTAATATTTTACTTTGGTTAAATGTTTGTACTTTTTAGCTCACATAATCCCATACGAGTTCCCGAGGAGTCAACCACAAATACAGGCTGCCATGAATATCTGCAGCCACGTCAGTCGTTTGCTTTTATTGCTCTGAAAAACTAAAACCTTTTCTCTTAAAGACCAAAGGATAACCAGAGCCCAGGCAGAGTGTAACTCTGCGGGTTCCATTTATTATCCCAGCCATTTGCAGTACAAATCACTCATCTTCACGTGTTTCCTTTAATCGTCAGTGTGTGTGTGTGTGTGTGTGTGTGTGTGTGTGTGTGTGTGTGCGTGTGTGTGTGTGTGTGTATGTGTGTGTGTGATAGACAGACGAAAGGGAGAGGGAACGGGCTTGTCGGGTGTTTACGGGTCATTAGATGTGTTTGAGCGGGCCGAGTTGAGTCTGTGCCGTGCGCTCCACACACAGCGGACTGTTTCTCAGACCAACCGCATCCATCAAGGGCCCACAGAGCTGGCACTCTGCCCAGTCGAGCTGCTGACGTCAGAAGCGACCTCCAGAGACATGCAGCCGGCTGAAGGGGGCCCAGGGGAGGGGCGGGGATGGTGGTGGGGGCGGTGGTGGTGAGGGGTTGTGCTGGCTCAGGGTGTGGGTGTGTTGAAGTGAAGGGGGGAAGCTGGCGGAGGATGGATTTGTCACATTTGGGAGCTGCTTTCTACATGAGGTTTACAGACTGTCGTGTTTATTGCTGCCATGCAGAGACGTTGGTCTCTTAGGTCTGATCCTGCACTTGAAACAGTTTCCTGTACGCAGTGCAGAGTGTGTGTGCATGTGTGTGTGTGTTGACTCTGACAGGTAGAAATAGAGGCCCAAATGATTCTTGCTGGGGCCAAGTGGGAATAACTAATTTCACCCATGTAGTTCAGGTCAGAGCAGATGAGCCCTGTGCGAAGCAGAACGCTGATTCAAAAAACCTAATTGTGGAGCACGAAGATTTTAGGCTGATGTGTTTTGATTAGTTTTCAGTCATCATATGAGTCATGAAACTAAATTCCCCCAGTGCAAAGGTCATGTTGTTCCCATCACTTCCAAAAACTCAGTAACATTAAGAACCATTTTGTTTACTACAAATTTTTCAAAGCACATTTTAGTGTTTAAAATCTGTTTAGCTCACTTTCTATTTATTTCAGTATAGTAGGAAAATCAACTTGCAGAAAACGCGCTTGAGTCATGCAGCCAATCAGAGTGAACAAAGTCATCACTGAAACGTCTGCGCTGCATTACTGCACAGGCGTATCATAACATGGACATGACATTCATTATGGTGGATTACATGTCTCAGGCAAGTTTCACATTTCAGTCGATTCTCATGGTGTGCAGAGAAGCATGCTAACTACCGACAGCCTGGAAGATAGAAAAAACTGTATAGAGCGCTCTGACATAAATGGTCAGCAGTAATACAAACAATATTACTAATCCCCTGCTATATGTCAAGCTGCTGGGAAAATGGTCACCCGCATCAGTTTGTTGGGTGAGGAAACAGTGGAGGGACTAAAGGAATGATACAGCGCGGTTTGTGTTAGCAACAGAAAGTTACTGAACTGAAACAGAAACAAATTGCTGTTTTAAGCAGTTAATAATATGTTTTTCATGTGGTGATAGAGAGAATATCAGGGGCATACTGTAACTTTTACTGTGTTGAAATGAACAGCTACAAACAGTGTTTTGAGTACCAGCACCTACTGATTAATGTAGGTCATGTGCAGGTAGGTATGCAGTAGGCTGCTCTGCTACAAGTGTCTAGACTTTTTCCCTCCAAAAATTCCTGTCAGTGAATCACTGATGGAGAGATGATAGGGGCAGAGAGACGTGTGGACCACCAGGGCGTTCCTATTTCTCGGAATTTAATTGTGTTAGATTTGTTGGTTTTTTTTTTTGTTTCTCTCTTGTCATCCTTGTTGCCTGACAACGGTGTCAACTTTTATTTGGAAATTGATCTCGCCATGCACATTGTTGAAAATGCTGCAGTAAATGTGTCTCTTCACACACATTGCTGGTTACGATGTAGCTTACGTCAGTTTGTTTTAATGCAGTGTGTAGTGCCAACTCAAAGGGGAACCCCACTGATTTTACACATTGAAGTGTGGTTATAGGTCTTGGAGAGTCCTACTGCATATGTGAAAAAAAAAAGTTATATGAAGTGTTTTGTGGCACAAAATATGATAAATTAGTTGAAGTGATGTCACTTGAGTCCGCCTCAGTTGGGGCTGAAGAATACAAAGTTACAAAAAATCTGGGAGTGCCCCCCGCTCTTTGTCTCTGTGGTTGGCTAGTGGCTTGAGCCTGCTTCTAGCATATAACACCTGAGTATTCAATACAACTGTCAGCAGTCAAGTTGCATTGTGGGTAATGTAGGCAGCAGGAAGAAGAATGTGTGGAATAAAAAATATATGTTAAACTGTCCACTGAGTCTGACAGCGTTGTGGGTGTTTACCCCTGGATTTTCTTTCTAAACAAACAAGATTATATTTATTATTAGTTTATAAAAACTGCTCTTTCTAAAAAAAAAAATATTTTCATTTCTTTCCTCTGTCCGTATTTTAGAAGCTGTATTTTCACCATGCCGTTTTGACCATCATGTAGAATATTGTGGAAACGACTTTGTATATTTTTTCTGTCTGGGCCACCGGAGACTCAGACCGGGCTTACTGAGTTAACCAAGTTGTTAGAATACATTACAAAGTGCAGGTATTGAACAATATTCAGCCACTTGCTCGGAGCAGTTGGGCTCTTGAGCTGTGCGAGAGGCGACCAGACGCAGAGCGAAAACATCAGTAATCAGCCTGACAGCTCTCCCATTATGCCTCGTGTCTCTCTCTGGGTTGATCTTCATATCACATCAGTAGTATCACTCTGAGTCCACTTCCTCTGTTAGACCACTGTGAGCAGACACTTGGGCACCACTCTGAAGCCTCTCTGCGTCTCCCTCTCAGTGGTTCTATCCACTCAAATGACAAGCACTGTCTAATTTCTGGTTCATCACACCGGCTGAATGGTCACCGTGATGGGATGATGGCTGGAATTTGACTTGTACATTTATTTCTGTCGCTGTGTGTATTTCTATTAATCAATGTAGCCAGTTTATTCTATAGATGTATTTTTCTATATCCATTTTTGCAGTGACACTTTTTTTAGAGGATCAGATTGATCTTATATTCTTTATGAGTGCAGCAGCAACAGCAGCAGCAGGACCTGTCATCATGTGATCGTCACTGAGATAACCACAGCTTCCTGGAAGCTGTCCCTGCAGCCAGTCCCGTTCTCACTTATCATGTGATGGACAACATTGGATTACATAAATCAGTTTCTCTGTACACATACACGCAAGTGTGTGTGTGTGTGTGTGTGTGTGTGTGTTTTTGCAAAGGTTGTGTTACAGCCTCTAATTCCAGAAAAAAGCTGCCACATTTGCACTTATCACTGTGTGGTAATATTAAAAATGTGCCTTTCATCGTAACTAAAAAATACTTTTTAATGTTGTTTTTTTGTTTGTTTGTTTGTTTGTTTTTTATTACTTTACTAGTTGTATTTACTACATGTATCAAGATGAGGCTTCAGATCTCTGTGTGTCATGAGCTATATAGCAGATCAGTCTTATAGCAGCGAGCAGAACACGATTTCCCAGAATCCCCGCTGATGTCATTTGACCACCACACCTCTCTCGGCCACTGTCCCACTGGCACTGTTTACTTCACACCACATGCTGTCATGGGGTAATTAATAAATCCCAAACCCTCTGCTGCTCCCATACAGATGCCCCTTGTTACTTATCAGGACCTTATGCATTGCACACACACACACACACACATTATATATATATACTGTATATATATATATATATATGTAACAACTGTGTCTCTCAGTCAAATAAAGCTGTGGATGAAGACGGGATAAAGTCAGCAGCATGCTAAAGTTTTTAATAACATACAGTGCTGTTTTTTCTATTTTTGTGAATGTCGCATTTTTACATTTTGTGCTTCATTTGTATTCTCATCATATATGTCCTACATTTTTTAACAAGCATGAGCGGTTCAGATACATTATAATCTCTTCTGATTAATCAGTTAATCAATAAATGTGAGGAAATAGCAAAAAATAACCAGTGTATGCTCCCAGAGCCCACAGCTTTAGATTACTCTCACATTTGAGAGGCTGCAAACAGAAGATATTTGGAATTTTTGGTTGATTAATTACTTGTGATTGATCAATGACCATTTTTTTCTGTGGAATACTCAAAAAAATCGCAAAAATTTTGTCAGTATTCATAATGAGAACATCACTCACAAAGTTGAATATCCCTCACAAGTGGGATTACATGTCTGATAAGAGATGAAGAACTTTGTGGAAGTCGTCTGAGCGAGTCTCCAGTCTCTTTCTGGCCTTGAGTAAGGCAGGAGTCGGGCTGAGCTGTTAAGCAGCTGATACTGTTTGTCAGATATGTTTGGACGGTAGTCACAAGAAAACAAAGATGTGCTTGTGTAGCAGAAACTCATAACCAACCACTGTGATAAGAGAGCTGTCTCACCTGCAGGGCTTTCCATCAGAGGGGAGGAGGAGGCCTCCTGTGCAGTGCGCAGTGGGTGCAGGTTCAAATGAAACAGAGCAGAGTTGCTGGTGTAGTCTGAAATGCAATTAATATGACTGTATATGCCAAACAAAAAGTTTGTGTTCTTAAAGTAAAAATCAAAGTCAAAGTCAATATCTTTCTCAAAGTTGTTGATGATAGTTAGTTGATGTTTTTTTTTTAAAAAAACAGGAATTTCATTGAGATCTCAATCTCAATTTAAAGAGAGACCTGCGCACAG